CCCCCCCCCCCCCCCCCCTACGTTTTGATTCGCAGGAGCGCATGGGTCCCGGCGGGCTAGACCCCTTGGAAGTGTTCCCCACTCTGCCGGAGAAGATGCAGATCGCCTTCGACCAGAAGGATACCCCGATGCTCCAGGAGGCGCTCTTAGAATTGACGGACGAGGAGCGAAAGTGAGGGCCACTATGATAACTTTGGCCCGCGATGAAAACTACACAATATTGTGTCTGTACGATTGGCGGACGAGGAGCGGAAAGCGAGATATGTGCATGTTGTTGTTGCTGACGAAGTTGCTTGGTTTAGCTCGACCAACCGCGGTCGTGCTCTCTCACGCTATGTTGCGAACGCTTTCTGCACGTCATCCCGGCTACTGTATTGTTTTTCGTCCCGAAAGAACGGCTTTCCCTTCACGCTATGTTATTGTAGCTCTTGCTCCTCAGTTGCCCCCAAGCCCCCAGATGACAGTACCCATGAACTAATTACGGAGCCCATTCAGTTATTTCCCCGTGGACCCCCGATGTCGCCAGAATTACTGCATCTATGGTACATTTTTTCTCTCACATATCACCTGTACGGACGGTTCTCGCCTCACCCCTTACGCCCACGCGACGAAACACATTCTTTCTCCCCTAAAGATACCACATGAAGCGCGTCGTGGACTCCGGCCTGTGGGTGCCCGGGGCCGGAGGGAGCACGAGGGTCGAAGACGAAGAGTATGACGACGACGACGACGACGAGGCGGCCGGGCAGGCGGTGGGGGTGGTGACCGGAGAAGCGTCGGGGACGAAAGTCCCGGCGAGCCCGCCCAGCCCGACCGGGGCCGGGAGCAGCGAGGAGGCGTGACGCTCGCCATGCCTTCAAGACCAAAAAAGAAAAAAAAGCATGTTGGGAGGAATATATGCTTCGTACTTCATGTTCTCCAGAGTACGTTCGTAGTGGGCCGGCCCTTTGCATGGCCGTACAGTGGCGCCAGGAGATTTGGCACGCCTTTTCACGGGCACACCCGAGGACTGTAGTGTTGGCTTGTCACCGCTTCGGAATGCCGGGTGGGGTGGGGCGGGCGAAGAGGTGCTGTGTAGGCGGAGGAGAGGTGGAGGTTAATTGTGGTTTCCCAGGCAAAGAAATGTGTCGAGTTTTCGGTTGTGTGGTGGGGCAGTCGGTTCGAGGCAGGTTTGAGAACGCCGTCCCCACGGTCCCTCGATGTTCCCGCGTTGGTTTCTAGATTGACAAATGTAGTGACAGCCAACAATCACCGCGGCATATCGGGACACCGCACTAATGAGTGTTGGGGAGTATAAAGCGTTCAGTGTATTCGCCCAGTCCCGCGACAAGCGATGTTCACACCGATTTTCGGGACTCGGGACCGCAGTAGTCGGGACCACCAAGGTGCTGTCCCGCGTCTTTTGAGCACGGGCGGGTGGGTAGCAAGTAGCTGGGGCGCAGATTGTATCGGGTAAGCGAGTGTGTTTTCACGTCGTGACGAAGGCATTACCAGAGCCAGCAACAACCAGAGCCCAATATCTGGCGATGGGACTTGGTGTTCGCGACTGGTGGTGGCTCAATTCTACAGCAGTAAGTACGTAGAATGTTGTTGTTTCATCCTTGGTTCCGTACTTCAGGGATGAGTCGTCCTCCTTGTTTCTTAAACGTTTCGCAGCTGGTTGTGGTATTATCTTCTGTGTTTCACATGCCTTGGAAGTGACGATTCCCCGGCTAGTCGCAGCAGCGGCAGCAGCGGCAGCAGCGGCAGCAGCCGCGGAGCGGTACAAAATGTCACGTGCAGCTGATCATGTCTCGATCATGTGGATTCGTCGATCGTCGATTCGTCGATTCGTCGTTTGTCCTGGTCCTGTGTTGGACCAGCACCCCGAAGACCTGTGCGTTGATTGTACAAGACACGATACAGGTCGCAGCGGCCATCCTTACCCATGCGGCCACCGCTGAGCCGACCGGAGCTTTTCCTGATTACATTTGACGGTTGAAACATCATGTACATGGGTAAACAATAGTTTGACGGTCAACTTGTCTAACTCCGCCGAGAATGAATCCTCCCCCCTTTCTCACACCAAACCCGCACCAAACCACACTCGAGATCTCCCTCTCCTACCTTCCCTACATCTATCATTATCTTGACCCCCCCACACCTCCCTGCCACGGCTGTGGACATTCGCCGGGTGTAAGAAGAGGACTCCCGTACCACGAGTTCCAGCGCGCAGTTTCCCGACGAGTGATGACTGATTGTCGCTGCGCGCGGGAATCACGCCGCCCGAATTGTTGTCGGGCTCCCTCCTTCCCCACACCTCGGCATTCTCAATCCATTCCTGCTCTCCCCATCGTCCTCGCGAAATCAATCACAAACGAAACCGATCGCCCCTCCGCTGGTCGCAAGAGGTACAATGTAGGCACCATTCTACCGAGTGAAAATTAGCCACACGTTCTCCCCCTCCCCCTCGCCTGTACATCTATTTCCAGCGGATTCCCGGCAGCCGTTCGCATGTTTGACATTGGTTTCCCTCTAGTTCTGGCTCTATACACACCCATCCATCCCACCCTCGGTTGCCTATATGCTGATTTTTCTGTTTTGTTTCTCACTACAGCAGTACACACGATTTGATATCTCCAGCATACAGAAAACCGGGATGGGTCACACATCTTTCACTGCCACTGTCACTTGCTGGCATGGGCGCTTGCAGCATGAGCCGGCGGAGCACCCGTAGCACCGCTCTGTTCACTCTGTTTTCCTGCAGCAGCTATCGGTTGGGGACGAAATCAATCAGTCCATCGCACAGGTCGTGTGGCCGGCCTCCCTGCAGGAGTTGTCAGTCGGGGATTGTTTTGACCAATCCTTGGACGAAGTGGTGTGGCCGGCCTCCTTACCGAGTGTGACTCGTGATGAAGTAGCCTGCTATGAAAGCTCTCGATGCACGCTGTCCGTTTGCACGGGCCCTGCTTTCGGCAAGGTAGAACCGGGAAGGGTATGGTTGGGAAGATGGTTACGCGGATAGGTATTTGTTTTTTCACACGAGACAAGCGCATCCATCCTTGTCGGCGGGGAAGCATAAGATGCTTAGTCAGATCGAGGCGATCTCCTACATTTCACGACATCGTCCCTTCGTGGCACGACGTGCTCGAAAGCGGTACCAGTTGCTTGGGAACAGTGCAGACTCGTGCAGGACGTATCGGTAGCCATTGTGCTGGATGCTGGATGTATCAAACCCTGGCAACGACTGTTGGAGACGTCGTGAAATGAGGTACACCCACAAAGAAAGGGGACGGTGTGTGGTGGGCAGCAACACTTCATCCAGGATAGACATGTCATGCAGGACAACAAGCGCATTCCCCTGTAAGGACTTAATCCAGGCCATTTATTCTGGAGACATGGAGGTGGGAGGGGGGGGAAGTCCCATTGGCCCTTGAAACCACCCGAGAGGGAGCCACGCTTGATAGATGCGCCGAGAGAACCGGCCACTTTTCAAAACAGCATCTACTTCCAAAACAAGGCAAGCATGTCCGAAACCAAATTTGCCGTACACTCGTAAATGACGTGTAGCGTTGAGTATTACGTTGGACTAGGCGGGCAGCACAAGACGAGCGGGCACGGAAAACGCCCACTCACGTGCCTGTCACGTCACCGTTTCAGCCGGGAGGAGCTTATGTTCAGCTTCGGGTGGTTGGCACCTACCCTCCAACACGGTGCGTTAGACGGCTTCCTACCAAGCGTCACTGCTCGATACTTCAAAGGATGAACTTAATTAAGTCCATCATGGCATGCCACCATCTAGAACGTCTCCTCAATAATCTTGCCATGAAATTCTGCAACAGGCCGAGCTGCACGAGCATGCCCAGATTTCAGCTCAACGTTTCAACATCATGCAGTAGATCGAACTAGAGAACGGCCTTCCGGCTTTCAGAGCCCAGACCAGACATGCGGTTTCGGTAGGAGACATCATGGAGCAAAGCGACGGGCCCGTTGGTACGCTCAGATATATATGTTGCTGAGGCCGTGACCCATGGCATAGACTAAATCTAGGGTTCCCACCTGTGCTTTTTTTGACCTGAAATTTTGACACGAGCGGTTTTTTTGACCCGAGAGGTTACGCCGCCTCTTTCGGGTCAAAATTTCCAGGTCAGATTTTTCTGGAAGACGTGTCAAAATTCGGGGCGAATTTTTTTTTGACACGAGGTGCCCCCGAAGCCCCCACAAAGCGATCAACTCCGCCTACCAGCTCGCAAAGCACTGCCGCACACCCACACACGTCTGCAAAAACAATCCCGGGAGCACATCGCACTCCTGCTGGTGCCAATCCGCGTCAGGGACGGTTGCGTTCATCGAGGGTTCGAGAAAAAAACAGGTCGACGTTGGTCCGAAAACAAGCACAGGAGTGATTGCCAACATAACAGCAGTCGGGCGCCCCACCCGTGAAGGGGAGGTTTAGGGCTGCCTGTGTTGGGGGATTTGTTCTGGAGCTCTTGCAGCAGCAAGCGAAAATGAGGCTTCTCGAACCTAAAAAGCTCCTTGAAGTCGAAGCCTCCGATAGCGTCGAAGATGTTGTACATCGGGTACACACCCTGCAGGGTTGTAGGCGCTACTAGCTCTTGGTAGGCCTCCAGTTTGACAAGACCAAACATGGTCATCACGAGAAACAAGTCCTCCTCTCCGGCCAATGCGCAGAGCAGGGCCAGAGCCATGATCTGCATGCATTCATCATACCGCTCATAGCGGATTCTACCTCGTTCAAGGCGCGCCATTCCCTCGGTTCGTAGCGTTTACGGGGTGGAGGCTCCGAGGCTCAGCCGTTAGGTTTTCGGTCTTGCGCTGAGTGTTTTTTTAAAATCGAGATTTCGCCGCTGCTGAGCTCCGAAAGGTAACAAGCGGCGAAATAAGTTCGTGTCAAAATATCAACCGTCACTTTTTTTTGACCCGAGCTGCCTTGTGTCAAAATTCTCGGGTCAAAAAAAGGTGGGAACCCTAGAATGTACAAGGCCAGAAGTTTTGGGCTCACAACCTCCGTTGTTTCGTTTCAAACCAAACTTGCGATATTGGCACTCGCCCCGCCACGAGTTCCGGCTCCTCGAACTGCGGGTGGTCTAAGGCAGCCAGTGGCATGAGTTATTCTTGCTGCTGTTGAAGCTCAGGACTCCCAGACCGGTTAAGATGGGATTCTCAACACCGGCCGATTGTGACCGTTTCGTCTGGATTTCACGACTGTGATGGAAAAAAGTGTCTCTTTGGTTCGAGAGTGGGATTGCGTGGAGGTAGAGTGCGTGGTATGCTGGTAGACACAAGACCAACCCCCTGCTCCGTCGTGTTCTGCGCGACAACAACAGACAGATTTGTCAATGGGGTGCAACTGGTCTGATGTAGATATTTGTCTCGGGATCTTTTGTTCATTTTCATTGTAGATATACAATTGAATAAAACCATCAAAGTCAAGATTGATATTGTGAGCATCGCTTCAGCTGTGGCGGTCGTTGATCCCCAGTCTGTGCGAGAGTGATATGTTGACTATTTTGCAGCAGCATATGGACGACAGTCCCGGCTCGATCTCTGCCTCTTACAAAAATAACGGCCAAAAGCGCCACCTGTGTCAGGCCTGTGCGTTGTTTGTTCGACGGAGAGGGTGGCGCTCAAGATCTGAAGATCTTCGTGTACCTGGCAGCGCAGCCACGCCAAGTCGTTAGTGAGGTTTGAAGTGCCAGAGGTAACCGACTGGAGAGAACAGCTGGGTTCTGCAGGCAGTGAGACAGAGAAACAGCGAGACAGCAATACAGCGAGCAAGTCGATGATCGGCGTTGCTACTATATGGCGGTGCTTCGGTGCCACGGTGACACGGTGAGGCTTTTTTTTCATCAGCATGACCCAACGAATCCATCTCTCTCTATCGAAGAGCCGGAGATAGATTAGCACTGAATCCATAGCGTCAGCGAAAGTTTTGTTTTTCCACGATTTCCCTAGCAGCACGCAGTGATATCTCCCTCGTGGGTAACAGAGTCAACAAGACAGATTGGTAGCCGTTTTGTGTACCTATCTGTGTATGTTATGCAAGGAAGATGTAGAGGGAAGATGTTGGGTAGGCTTTCCGAGTTTCGAACCGATTCTGTAGGTCGCGAACCGGCACGCAAAAAAAAAAATGGACGGTACCTGGTGGCAGCTGGCTACGCACAGCTAGCCGGCTAGGAGCCAGGACGCCACTGCAGTGTGTATAACATCACGGGATCGAGGAGCAGACCAGACAAGCGAGTCGCTTCTGCTCCCCTCTATTGATGATTTCGTGCGACTGACCGACAGGACCTCATCCCAAACAAACATCTCAGGTGTGTACATGCCCAGCACGAGCTGACCCCAACATCGACATGCTCACACGCCACTATTATTGCTGTTAAATGGTCTACACCTACCACCTCTCGCCTCGCCCGCTGTTTGCAACAACAACAACGCCATAACCTTTACCGTCGACCAAGAATCAGCACGGAAGCCAAGGAGGGAGGAGCAAGGGGGGAGGGAGCAAATGTAGTACGCATACCACGGCCAAACACACGTACACAGGCAACATAAAGAAGTAAAGACACAAGCAAAGCACCGGCAGATTTGCATGTAAGGGTCGTATAGACAAAAGGCTGCTGCTATGAGTTCATCAATACAGTCGAGGGACCGGTTTAGTGCAGGTAGCAGGTGCCCGGTATACAGCAGCGCAAGCAAAATCCCTGGACACAGACAGGGCCCTCAATAGGGCAGTTCCTGCACTATTGAGGGCGGACCCGCTATAGTGCAGGTTGGGCGCCGCGCCGCCCCCTAATAGTGCAGGCTGGACACTCACACACACGATTCGGAGACGGTTTACCTTCGAGCTCGCTAGTTTTCTGTCAATGCGAACTCGCGATGTGCTCAAACGTCATGGGCTACTGATCGACCTACTTCCACCAGAACCAATCGGTTGGGATCTCGGCGACAACGATAGTAATGAGGGCACTTATTTTGGGAGTGACGGAGACGAAGGAAAAGGCAAGGGAAGAAAGGAGGACGAAGACGACGATGGAGGAGGAAAACATGGAGGAGTGAAAGAGAGCAAAGGGTTTGAGCCAGATGACCTTCCCCAAAAGAAAAAACGTAGGGCTAGGGAAGAACTGCCCAGAGATGCTTGTGAAAACGAGGATCAGAATGATGGCAGCGAAAACAAGGAGGATAATGATGGTGAAAGTACTCCTAAACGAACTCGAGTATAAGGTAGTAAGTAGGCTTGGTAGACGCGTGCAGTTTTCTTCTGTTGCTGCTATTGCTGTCTTTGATTCGAAGGAAAATTTAGCCTTCCTCATGCTGCCCCCCTTGGTGTTCGCCATCGGGATTGGGTTTTCGTCGCTTGGCAACAACGTTGTAAAACAAGCCAATTCACTTCGTGAACTCGGCAACCAGGTAACCGTTTGTTTTTCACCTCTGTTTTTTGTTGGCGGTAACCATAATGGTGGTCGAGTAAATCATGTTGTGCGAGGTCGAGAACCCCTCACTCCGCGCAAGGGGGATGATCGCACCACGTTGTGTTGAAATGGTCAAGCA